TGCATGTATTTTCATTTAGATTTCTTATTTTTTCCTCCACAGTATACAGTGGTTTCCTTTTGATGCAGAATATCGTGGCACATGCTACAAGGAAGGAGAGAAGAAATCGATGCAGGCTTAAAAAACAACAGAGAATGAGGAAGGAATGGCTTTTTTAATGTGACAGCCGTAAGCTGGATGCAAAGTGGGACTTGGTAGGGGTCGTGAAGGCAGTATGGCTCCAGTTTTGCAGTGTGCTGCTGCAGCCCCTCACTGCAGATGGCCCTTTGATCTCCTAACCAGTCAGCAAGCATGCTGGCACCCCATGTGCTGGTGAGAGGTGATCTGTGTGCACTGCACAGCATGAACAGGCACGCATGGGACTTGCTTTAAAAATGGATTCACCCAAATCAGAATTCCCTTTTAAAAAGTCTCACATTGTTCAGAACTTCCCAGCTGAGAGACAAAAAACTTGTTTCAAAATTGCAAGACCAAGAGTTAAATTCTTAACAGTAATCTCTTCTCACAGTGCTCCTTTCTTGCAGCCCACCTCCAGGTACCACCTGACTGTGGGACAGCTTTGTCTTGAGGTTCTGGCATGCAAAAAGGACCAGAAGTTAGGCCCTGCCTGGCCCAGTCAGGGTGGGCAAACATTTGGCAGGAGTTCTCAGTGCTAAGAGCAGGCCATCCAACCCCACTGCAGCCCTGTCAGCAACCAGCCAGACTTACAGTCCCGACAACCATCATCCAACACCATGCCAAATGAGACCTGTTCTGCCTTGCCCTGCTTTCACACAGTGCAACAAGATGGAGGAACATTTCTGCCTCTTACCACAAAATACCCCCACAGAATCACAGAATGGCCAGGGTTGGAAGGGACCTCAAGGATCATGAATCTCCAACCCTCCTGCCACACGCAGGGCCACCAACCATCCCACCTAATGCTAGACCAAACTGCCCAGGGCTCCATCCAATCTGGCCTTGAACACCTCCAGGGATGGGGCCAAATTTTTAAAGTACTATTGATAACCTTTACCTCAAATCCAAGTTCCGACAGCCATGCTTTATGGTTACATCTGTATATAAAGCAGCATGCCAAAGGAATGAGTGGCAGAACTGCACCCTTACACATGCTCACATTATGTTAATCTGCAGACACTTAATCAGAAAGGCTAATACATTACAAACAATTAATGGCCAGAAGAATCAGGAGAGGTTTTGACCCTCTTTAACAAGGGCTTGAAACATAAAAATATTCTGATTATATATGAATCTCATACAAAATTACAAATTATATGTCCACAATGCATCAAATACAGTCATTTTCAAGTCACATTTAGGTAAAAATGGAAACTGGACTTAGCTGCTGGAGCAGCTCTTCAATTGATCCAACAACTCATTGTCTTTAAATATGAATAAATGCAATTTAATCAGCCATTCCTATCGATTAATCCCAAGTATTTATTGAGGAAACATGCAACTGTAGGAGAAAAGAAGGTCATCCAGAATATAGGATCCCATGATAATCAGCAGGTTAACAGCAGGACGTAAAATCCTCAGCCACGCAGAATCAATGCAAAACTCCTGTCAACTTAAATAGGGCCACAATCCTCAGTCTAAAACTCACAACAATGTGACAATGGAGAATTCTGTCCCTGAGCAGAAATTGAGGTAAGCAAAGGTCCTGAAGGGGAAGTTCAGATGTCCCAGTCATAACTCAGTAATTACTACTCAGTAATTTCACCACTGAACTAGATGAGGCAAAACAGCAAAATGTCACCTCCTCCCTAGGCTAGCTGAGAGCTACTGAGGGGCTCACAGCCAAAGGTTCCCTCACTTCAACAGTGCCTCACCCTGCAGTGCTGCCAACCCCAGCCCAAGGGCAGCCAGAAGGCAGTGCACCCACACCTGAGTGCTGCCAGGGCACAGCTGTGGCTACAGCATCTGCAGAGAGGTGTGCTATGCTAACCAGGCTTCCCCAGTCTCCTCTCTGGAGCCAGAGGGAAGGCAGTTGGCACTTTTGAAAGTTTGGCCAGGGCACTACAACTGTAAGTAGCAGGAGAGCTTAGCGGTTGCCTTCATACATCGACAAATCACTATGAAATACCTTTGATTCAATAGCATGTTTGGATGTTTCAGATCCCTGTTTTTTGCTGCTAATAGTCCCTAGGTTTTCCAGTGGCAGCTCTCGTGACAAGAACAGAGAGGCCTGGATGAAAAGAGAAACTCGGATTCTGTACCATCTGTTACATGACTTCCAATCTGAGAGAACAGATGCTGGACTTCCCAATCAGCTTTTGGCTGATCTAGAAACATTTTGCTAATTAGGGCTATAACTATAGCTAAGACAAAACAAGTGTCAGAGAAAAAGTGAAAGACTGGCTCAAATTCCTCTCATACTACCTGGGCAAAGGAGATGTCCTTTTAATAATTGTAATATGGAACGAAACAGCCTTCCTTACAATGAATGTACACCAAGAGGACACCAGAAAACTGAACATGCCCTCTAATTAGATTCTACAAAAAAAAGAAGCGTGCACTGGATTCAACAGATTCACCTGAACTAGGCAGCAATTTTCTTATCCTACTGTACGTCTGTTGTTTTACTTTACACATTACCCAACAGCACGTCTGCCCTATGCTCTCCTAGAGAGAAATCTGTGTGACACTGAGTCATTCATAAGGCAATCACTGTTTAGAAACCTTACCACCCGCTGGGATATCCACACATCTCATGGAAGACAGCATACAGCAAAACCAAGGGCATGGTACTCCACTACCAATTCTGTGTGCATCAAACACCAAAATGTCAAAATGTCAAAAGTGCCAAAAACACTTCAATGGAAGTTAGTTTCAAATGTAATATGATAGCTACAGTATCTATGGTATAAACAGGGAGTCAATTTTTCCTATATACACTAAAGATAGTTTACACTACCAATAGCTCTGATGCTTCTCATTTTCCTATGAATGCATGGAAGCAGCTTAATTAAAAAAAACAAACTATGCCTGTGTAGTAATTTTAATTTCAGTCCCTGTATCTAGAACAAGAGAATTTTCTCTAAATACTGCTTTAAAGCTTGTGTGAAAGAACACAGCTATATTAAAAATGCATCATTATTTGTACATTCTTTCATTTGTCAAATATCAATTCTTCTGTTTTAAAACAATCTGTACTTAATTTAACCTAAGTTATTTAAGCTTTTTATGCTTTCCAATACATTACGCCAAAGCATATTCCAGTATGATTGATGATTTTTAGAAATGGTACTGTTGCAAAAATAAGAGCTGGTATAATGTATTTTGCTACAACAGATTTTCAAGTAAACAATAAAACTTCCAACTTTCTGGGACTTGCTTCCCTCCTTAAATGACATTTAATAATCAGAACCTTCCTCACTCTTGCTAGCAGTCCAGCTTTTACTATTATCCCCATCCCCACAGCTGATAAAGGGATACTCTACGTTTTAGGCACACAGACTTCCCTTAGGCCTACAGGATTCTCGTGTACTGGTACAACTCTTTGCACAGATACAACACTTCCTGGAAGGAAACAAATAACTTCACCATTTTGCTCATTTTTTGTACAAGTTCCATGGCTACAGAAATCACTCAGCACTACACACATCTGCTCACTTTATAGATCTCTCAACTTTGCAAACTCTTCTGCACACAGAATTCTCTTCTGTACTTTAATTCATTAGAATAAGACAGTATTTGTTGAATATGTAAGCACTGGCAGCACAAATCTCAAGAAAAATCCTACAGCTCTCTAAAAAAAGATGCAGAAGATTGTTGAAGCTCAGCCCCTAAATGCCATGACATTGTAAAATAGGATGCACACACAGCCAAAAAAACAATGGACAGTCAACAAAATTCTGCATTGGTCATCAGAATCATAAGACCAATGAAACATCATTAATATGCAAGTCATCTAACTTTCTATTTACTTATTTCATTCTTGTAAAATTAACTGAAGGCATGGTCTTAAGTACACATTCTTCAGCTTAACTGGTTCCCACCTCCAGCATCAGTTACTGACCTCTTTCACACCTCCCCAAAATGCAGCAATGCAGGTTGAAACAAGGAGCATTGTTGGTTTTGTTTTGCTTGGGGCAGGGAAACAGACGGACTGCTTCCAGCACTGGGAATAGGGAGCAAATTGCAACACTGTTCAGGGGAAGGTAAAGAGGAAAATCCAGAAATTTCACAAGTAAACAAAGTGCAGGTGCAACAGCAACATCAATTAAGACGGCATTCACTTGACATAAAGCAGTACAGACAGACAGCAGAGCTTTCTAGGCAAACTTTACTTGTGAGTTCTATTCTTCTTGATGCACAAATTTATCCCAGCTGACACTTACACAGATACAACAGATTTCCACCTTTCTGTGGAAGTAATAAAGGAGTACCCACATGCAAAAATCAAGCCTCAGGTCTTAAAAATGCAAAGTAAAGAATGTGTTCAAAGTGTCACTAAGATCAAAATCAGCCTATAATAATATCTGATTAAGAGTCACTGCATCTTCACTGTATCTTTGCTTTCATACTTACCAAAGACAACGTGAGCATGAGTTTGTCCACAAAATGGAAGAACAGAAATGTAAAACAGAAGGCTGGAGAAAGGATAGAGTGTGAAGCATAGCAGCAGGACAACAAGGGAAAACAAATCTCATGCAGGGGCATGGGAAGCAAAAGAATGTACAAGATTGGCAATTTATACTAAAAAGGAAGTGCACATTTTCACTACCAACCAACAAAAATGACAACAATTGCTAAATTTCAATTCATATTCCAGCACTTTATGTCACCATTAAGCTTTATGTAACTATCTTATAGAGAAAACATGAACCACTGTTAATTGACTACATTAACTAAAATACTCTATTTATGCAAAGGAAATAGTCTCCTTTACAGCATTTTGTTGTAGATTCAAATACATCTAGCTTATAAAACACTTGTGTACAAACAGCTAAAAAGCAGTTTTAGCCCTTAATAAAAAGATGAGTTACATGACTTACTGCCACAGCATGTTTGTGTAGGTCACTGGGATGAGAGGCACTTGGGTGGAAGTCAGCAGGTGGGCCCAAAGCTGGATCACTGCTCCTTCGTACCAGAAGTGGCATGCCTAGGAGACAAAATAAGGAGTTAATATTATTTCCAAACTCCTTTCACATGTACACAAACACTGCAAAGATGTTCTTGCTAAACTACCAGAAAGCCAGTTGCTGGTATTTTTAATTGCAACTGTCACAACTGAATAAGCCATATTCCAAATTCAAATGCAATGCTCCTTATACTTTCAAGGCCATCATCCCTACCGCTCTTCTCATTTCTGTCAGTTGATTTTCATAATTGAAGTAAGTGAAGACGAAAGCAGACAACAGTTAATTCCTTCAGGAGTCCCATAAAGACAGAGTGACAGGGTATTAATCTGAAAGTCTAAGCACAGCATGAGGTAAAGGTTTTGTTTTCCACCTATGTGCTACCCCGAAGAAGTCCATAGCAGGAAGGTCAGAAGTGACCACAATTAGAATATACAGTCCCTGTGCAATTCCAGCTCACACCATCAGCTGGGCCTGGGGCAAGCATTCAATGCTGTACAGTGACACAGAGCAGCACTAACACTTGTTAAGGGTTAGAACAGAATGAGCAAACTGTCTGTAGATAACACCCTGACAACACATACCAAAAAAATATATTAAAACATCCACTATACATACGTGCCTTTAATTTGTTCATTACTGTCCTCCTTAGACATGAAGAAGAGGTAATGGAAAACTAGCACTTACCCCATTTATTATGTGATTACACAGACAACTATACAAGTTTATTTAGGAGATACACTTGACTGTCTTTTTTTTTGTCAATAAACAACACCTTCTTTTTCCTTACTGCTTTCCTTTCGTCATGTTGTGCTTCTATATTATTCTACTCGTGCTATAGCATTTGTGCTGAGCATTTACAATAACCATTGTAAGCTAAGACAGAAAAAAACATTTCTTTTCTCTGAATGATGAAATACAGAAAACACGTTACCTTCTGCATACCAAGCTGATCATACAAGGCATGCTATTTATAAGCACTACAGTTTGTGTCAGAGCAGCACTTTGTATCTTAAACTTTGGAACTTGGTTTACAAAAGTATTTCTCCTCCTCCCACTGCACTGCAGCAGTAAGCCACAGACAATGAAGAGTCAAATGTATCATGAACTAAAATTTTATTCTCCTAATGGCTTTAACTTTGATTTCCTCAAGGTGCATTTCCCCCTTTCAAACTCTGTCCAGAGCTCCTTCTGTCACCGTACTGCAGAACCTCATCCCAGTCTTACTTACAATGCATTCTCTTTGACAAAGCTGAGGAGGAATTTTTCTAGTGACACTAAAAGCTCCATACTATTTTGTCTCAAGCAACACAGAGCAATCAATTTCCCTTTTGCTAGCATCACCTTCAAGGATTAGTCTCTATACAGATTCATGGTTAGCAGTATATTTTCCCTGAACCCTTATGTTTTGGAAATATTATTTTTTTAACTGCAAATATGGTTGAATTGAGCATATGGTCGAAACCTCACTTAGATTTAAATTGGTTACATTAGAAAAAAACAGAAGAGAAGTTCTGCCATTTGTGCACAATTAAAAAATGAAATCTTGCATCAACACAATAGCAAAAGAAACATCTCCATGCTTGATGAAATCCTATTTGCTTAGTTTGTTTTTTAAATTAAGTAAAAAGCCGTATGGAGACATTAACACCTGCCCCAGTCAGGAGCACCTTCTGCCTCACTTTGCGGTGTTTGCACCCTCTGGTGAATCAAAACTCTTTTTAGGTTCTGAGGGGGCTGGCTAACAAGAAATAGCACATTTAGGAATACTGTACAACTACAGAGAAATAACACAAGGTTTGGAGTTCAGTACCCCAGTGTGGTCACAGAGCCTTGAGCTGCAGCTCTCTCAATCACGCTGAGCTCTTCAAGGTCTCTTTCTAGGCATCAGATTTGCTGATGGAACTCAGAGCCTAGATTTAGATAGTTAAGTATCACCCAATGTGACCATGAATGCAAACACTACTCCAATCTTTCCTTCATTTTTTTCTTTTGTGTTTCAGCCTCATTGCTTGGGAAAGAGCAATTCGCCCCCAGCTGAAACCCTTCCACCTCCGTTATTTAGTCTGCAGTCACTGGGCCAAATTCAGAAAACTGATGAAGATAACCAGAGTTTTTCACCCAAAAGCCATTGCTATAGGCTGTGCTATCTAAAACACAGTCTTTCTGGTGCAAACATACTCAGTTAACTTTCAGGTAAGCTGCCAAATTGAAGAACACAGGGAATATAAGCATATGCAATTAACTGCATTTGTTGCAGCTCTCTTACATATTGTTTTGTTTGCTTGCTTAGCCGTAGAAGAGGGAAGAACTATTTTTGAAAAGAACAAATGATACACATGGATGTAATACTATGAAGTGGGTAGAAAGATTTAGAGTACATCACCTAAACAGTTAAAGTCCTAATTTTAAATTCTGCTCCTGCATATAAAAATGTTTATTGGGATAGGAAAAAAGCTGTTGATCACGTGTGTATCAAACTGTCAGCTGCTAAAGGCCACACCAATGACAACCCCTCCTCTGCCTGCTGCCACATCACACTCACTAGGATAAACTACCTCCTCATCCCTGTATGTGTCAGAATTTTATTCTTTTTTAGAGCTTCCTCAGAGCACACCTCAATAAAATTTGAAGCCAACACTGAAGCAAAACTCTATGAAGAGTAAATTCATCCACATGCACCAATGTGAAATTGTCCTTCGACACAGACAACAATGTGCTGGAAGATCCCCGACAAGCCATTAAAGCAGAGAGGCAGAAAGACTTTTAACTGGTCTTGTCACCAAACAAATTCAGGAACTGAAAACAAAATATTACAAGCAGGATAGTCATTTATATTTAAATACAGGAAAGGTCATTAATACATAACCATTTTTCTTCTTTTTATCAGAGACATTTCACATTAGCAGGCGTGCAGACAGCTCTGCCAGTCAGGGCTTTTTGAGAGCACAAGCAATCAGAGCGGGTAATCTGGTCACCCTGGATTTATTGCTTACTTCCACCTGAGGCACCACATAATGGTGCTGCCATGTACTTAAAGTGCAGCTGACACTACCTTGTATATTCTACCATCTGATAGGATCACAACCCCCCCTTTTTTTTCCTCGAGTATCTACTGCTCCAACAACAGAGCTCCTATGTTTAAAACTAACCCAAATTGCTCGTAATAGCACCTATCAATACAATTTAAGATCTACAGCTATCTGTTCTGTCTGAAGTGCACACTGCACTGTTAAATTCCCATGGATACAAGATTAAATTAACGAACTAGGATGATGTAACAGTGAGACAATTGACTTAAAATCTACAAACAGATGAAAATCAATTTCCAACCAGTTCTCTTTCATACACTATAGCCCAGTGCTCTAACAGCAGAACAAAGTATCTCCCCATTGCTCTAAACAAGGACTTCTTAAAGAAACAAAAGCGATGAGCTACAAGGAAGATCCAAGAGACTGTAAACTCATTTTTTTGGTGCTGCGTATTTCAGCAGAATGCTTTTCCCTGGTTGTACACAATGGAAAACATCAAGTCAGAGTTTATTTACAAAATGCAAAGACTGTTCCCAGTTTCTGACCAGAATTACGTTCTTTTGCCACTGTCATTACAAGAAACAGTACCTAACGAAACAACCGTGGAATATTTGTATTTATAGTTTTTGAGGTTTCAATGGCAGATATTACACATAACAACTTCCCATGTAGATATTTTGGTAATGAAGTTACTTTACATTCTATTTGCAGAAATTAAATCAACATTCACATGAAAAGAGGTTCCCCACTTCTCATCTTAAGGCACAAGGCTACTTATGTACGTACCTACAGAAGACACAGGAGTACTGCTGCTTCGTTCTCTGTCAGGAAGGTCTCCGGCCACAGGGCAAGCCTTCAAGTGGGGTCCTCACCAGGTACCCTCCTCCTACCCTTCATGTCACAGCATACCTCAGATCCCAACCGATTCAGCCTGTTCCCACCTCTGTCAGCACAGCACTCCCAGCTCCAGGCCCAACACGAGCAGGGACACAGGGGTGCCGCAAAGGTGCGCTGAGGGACCTCAGCTGCAGGCACTGCAGCAGCAGCCCAGGCGTGGGACCTGATCATACTTCCCACAGCAGGCAGAGCAGGGGCTTCGCCCAGCCAGGATTCTCACAAAATACACAACCCTTCCACTGGCTGGGAAGGCTGATGAGGAACAGGGTGGGAGCAGCCTGCAGCACTCACAGACCAGCGCTCACTACTACAGCCTGGCTGCTGGCTCCTGACCAGGGAAGGCCCTGTCCCTGCCACAGCTGCACTGTGCTGCTGGCTGAGGCTAAAGGCCTGGGCAGCTGCAAGCACCTCAGGTCTTTCAAGTACCACTGAAAAATATACAAATACATACATACGTACATATATAATTTCTGTTGCATTAGAATTTCCCTACACGTGACTTTGTTTTTAACATAATCTCTTCCAAATCACATTCGATGTAAATGGGAACTAAACTTCAGATACACCAGCAAGAATGGTTTCTTGTTACTCCTCCAGCCTGCTGGACACAGCAAAAAGCATTCATCTTACTAAACAGAGTGTTGTATTTAAACAGCATATTATCTGCGTTTAAATCAATCATTTTAGGTTAATCCATCCTACAAGATTTTAAAGCTAATAGATCTCAGACTCTCACACCTAATTTTTATTCACAGATTGAAAGGTGAAAATAAGCGTTTCTTCTATTTCAATTCCCAGTCCATTTCTCAACTTCAAATGAAACACTTAATGAACTTCACTAGCTGAATAAACTGACACAAAGAAAACATTCTCTGCACCTGCAGCAGCAGCTGTGCTGCCAAGGGCTGGTTTAGCACTTGGGCTACATCAGTTACGGGTGCTCAGGCAGGGACTCCTCCACAGTTCAGCATCTCGGTCTTCTCTGAAAACTTTGGCACCTGGACTGCACAGCCTGAATATGACAGGGGTAGCATTTTATTGCTGTAGTAGAAAAGTATAAATACACCTCTTGATTGTTTCAATGGTGTTTTTAA